ATATATATATATATATATATATATATGATACTTAATTACACACATTTGAGTAGATGTAATAAATTACTTTAATTCCTGTTTAAATGCAATTCATCCTGCCATACCTGCAGTGTCTTCAGACGTTGCCAGCAAATTAAAAGTTGAAGCTTAATCATTAAATTATTATCTTTGTGTTAGATTTATTTATAAATCATATTTAAACGCTGCTTGTACCAATTAAATAAAATAAAAAGTAACACACGTTCTCTATCACCGTCATTAATCAGCTAACAAACAAACAAGCAGCAGCATCTTCAGCTACAGAGAGACTGACGTTACGTTTTCTCACTTGGAAACAGAACAATGTGAATATTGTAGAGACTCACCTGCAACACGAGTTGGGAGTGAGACATGTATCAGCTGCTGCTCCTTGAAGGAGTCCTCCTTCCTCCTCCTCGTGACTCCGACATGTTTACGTTTCATTTCCGTGGTTCTCTCGTGTCGTCAATTTTCAAAGCTGCATGTTTCTCATTTTTTATCTTTGTGAAGTTCTCCCACACTTTGAAGGACTTGGGTCGAACAGTTTTCGCTGCGTCGGTCATTTGTAAAAAAAAATTTTTTCTACTTTATTCAGTCAGTCAGCATTGACAATGAACTGCCCGTGAACAAAACGACTCCGCAGCACCGTGAAAGATGCATAATCGCGCGACACAACGAATCAATAATGAAATTCGTTGCCAACGCTTTTAATCATCGATTTTTATCGATTTTTATCGATTTTATCGATTCGTTGTTGCAGCCCTAGTATTTTCCACATATCAGAAAGGACTCCTCCAATGAGCCAATCTCACCACAGTTCCCAACCTTTGGGATGCTAACACTTGACATGTGTGAATCCTCCCATAGGTTTTCAGGATAAATGCTTTAGCAAACAACATTACCATGGTCATCATTGTAACAGCTAAGTTTTTGGTATGTTTTTCAGGTTCGACAAATAAGAACAGTACTTTCAAGGAAAAAACTATCTCAAGTCAATGTTGAAACTCTTGCAAACGTGCAAGGTAATATTCCAGCTTTAGTCATTTTTGCATGATTGTCAATCAAACAAAAAATAAATAAAGGTTTGAGTAACTGCGTAATGGTTTTAGTGTAGCATGAATTCCATTATTATTTTACTGAGTAACATTATTTCTCATGTGTCTACAGGCAAACAGTTCAGGGCAGTCATAATGACAGCTGTGCAAACACGTGACAGCCTCAAAGTGTCAAACCTGTCTGGTTTGCCGCTGTTCAATGATGCCCGTGTGCTGAATACTGCAATGACTAGAGCTCAGTCTCAGGTGGTTGTAGTTGGAGATGCTGCTGCACTCTGTTGTTTTGGAAAGTGCTCAAGAATCTGGAAGAGCTTTATAGACCACTGCATCAATAATAACAATGTTGCAGCACAGCATTACACCAAAGATTTCTTTGAGAAAGATGTAATGGAAACTGCCAGGTTCCAAAGGGTTGAAGATGTGGATGAGAGCAACATTCTCACTGATGCAATTCTGCAAGAGTTAAAAGATGAATATGCACAGCTGAAAACAGAATATAGTTCAGATGAAGAAAGTTTGGAATTAAAAGAATCAAATCACTGGAAGTCGAGTGAGACGTACAAAGGGTCTACTAATCCAAATATTCTCTTGGAGTTGTGTGAAAAACAACCAACAATGTACAAGAGAGGAAAGTTTGTCAAGGAGTCATGTCAAAAAGGCTACATCATACCATTTCAGGAACCCTCCAGCCAAATAAAAATTAAAGGAAGATCAAATGTGGGGAAGGCATTCACTGGAGATGAAGTGGTCATACAAACAGCAAAAGTGGATCAAACAGCTAGGGTTATTGGTGTTGTCAAGACAGAAGAGTCTGCCCGTAAATTTGTATGTTTTCTTGAGGAAGAAGACCACAACAAGCAAAGACAGGTTTACTCTAGTAATTTCTTAAGAAGAATTATGAGACCTATCAAAAAAAGTGTGCCCAAAATATGCATTATGATCAACAAAAAAAGACGCAACTTCATTCCAATATGGGAACAAACTGACGGGTCCTGGACACAGATCGATTTGAAGGATCTAAAAGAAGTTCAAAACTGTGTATTTCAAGTGCAAGTGATTGGTTGGAAGGAGCAATGCTTTTTTCCACTGGGGAATGTCACTGGTGTTCTCCCAAACACAGGTCCTTTGAATGACAGACTTTGGCTCCTGAAAGAGCAATTTGATGTTTCAGATACTTTTTTGGGAACACATGATGGTCTCTTCAAAGCAGATGAAGATAATGCACAAAGAAAGGATGAATTACAGGCAGTCACATTCACTGTTGATCCAGCAGGAGCAGAAGATTTGGATGATGCCATCAGCATTAGGGATATTGGAACCAATTATGAGTTGGGAATCCATATTTCTGATGTGGCAAGTTTTGTGATGCCACATAGTAAATTAGATATGGATGCAAAAGAACATGGATGCACACATTATCCTACGGGACAAAAACCCATTCACATGTTCCCTCAAGAGTTGAGCACAGACCACTTCAGTCTTAAGCAAGATGAGATACGTAGGGTGGTTTCTCTGATGTTCGAAGTGGAAAAAGAGACTAATAAGATTATGGGAAAGAGATTTCAGCTTTCTCAAATCAAATCCAGCAAGCAGATGACATATGAAGAAGCAGAAGAGATCATTACTAAAAGATATAAAGAGAAGTCCAAATTCAATGCAGTGGAGGACTGTGTCACTGTGGCCTATTGTTTTGCGAAAGCTCAAAGGAAGGCCAGACTTGTTGACTGGGCTTATTCTCAGTCTGATAAAGACAGATTGCCTGGAAAACGTAAAGCCCATTTGATGATCGAAGAACTGAGTGTGTTGTTCAACAGATATGCCTCAGAAACCTTGGTCAGTTCCAACTACACCATGTCTCACACACCACTTCGCTGTCAGGGAAGCCCACATCCTGAGAAGTTGGAAGAATTCAAGGAGAAATGTAAAGAATTAATACCCTTGTCTTTTCATGTGCGGCACAAAGTTGACCATGACAGACAACCTCCAACCTTTCAAAGTTTTCGCCTCCTCAAAGAAGTGTGGAAAGATATTCTGTCATCAGCCAGAGCAGATGATACAGATAAAATGGTGGACCTGGTGGCTGCAGATGACATTCACCCTGCGCTCCAAACAGTCATTGATCAGTTCAAACGCTGCTGCACAAAGTCCTATGTTGTCCGCTCAAACAACTCACTCGAAGCAAAAGCAGGGCATTATTCTCTCAGCTTGCCAAGTTACACACAGGCTTCCTCGCCTATAAGGAGATACATGGATCTCATTTTGCAGAGACTTTTGCACTCTGCCATTTGTAACAAGAGTCACTGCTACACTCGAGACGAGATCACAGATTTGTGCCGTCAGTTTGAGGAAACTCAACAGAAAAGCAGAGAATTCGAAAAACGTGCAGATCAGAACTTTTATGCAGTGAGCACAAAAAAGCAGAGTGCACCAAAGCTAGCCTTAGTTGTGCATGTAGATCAGGAAGAAGATTGTTTTAAAGTGTCATTTCCTTTTAACAGGGACATATTTCCTTTGAGTTTATCAATCATGTACAAAGAATTACAACTAGAGGACCAGCCAATCAACAACAAAGAAAATAATGTCATCACTCTCAAATGGAAAAGACGGATCTATGCAGTTGACTCGATGCAAATCCACCAAGAAATTAATATGATGCCAGACAGTGGTCCCTGCATTGAACTTCCATTTTCAATATGGAATTCTGTAATTGAAGCAATTGAAAATGGAAACATAGATCATGCAAAGCTCCTTTTAATGGGTGTTGAAACACAGGAAATAGTTTCTCCACAACCATTAATACCTCTTGTTTCCCAAACTAACACATGCATATCTGAAGTACGAGACAAACAATGTGAACACTGGGCTGACATTTTTCTTCATCTACACTCAGGCAACACCATTCAGGTGCAAATGACATCAGAAATGAATAGAGGTTTCCTCATGCCCATTGTTCAGTTGGTGCACATCAAACCAAAATTTGAGATCTGTGTTGATCACGTCCACAGCCCGATCAAATGCTTTTGTCAAGCTGCAAATGAGCCATCAATGGTTGAGTATATGGACATAGAGCATTATATCTGGATTTGGGAACCACTCTGCAAGATGGAATCTGCTGCCAATGTGGTTGATGAAAGTGACAGCATTATAATCGAGAACCTGGTGGTAAGCTTTAAACAGAAACAGAAAGGCAAACTAACAGGAGAGTTCTTTTTACATCAGGAGTGGATCAAGGAGTGGGCTATCGATTGCAACCTTGCTCAATGCTTACTGTGCATACGAAAAAGAGGCCTAAAGATGCTTTCAGATATTCCCTCAGAACATTTTGCTTTAGTGGACCCAAAAGTGTTTGTGTGGGTGGCCCATGGCTTTACAACCAACATAGATGACAGAGAAAAAAATGGAACGAAAGTGGAGTTCTACATCAACCACCTTCCAATGGAAACCATTCCTAATTGTGTTTTTCAGAAAAACACTTGTTTCACTGTTGAAATAATTCCAAAGTTTATTCCTGACATGTAAGTTAACACATTTCATTTTACATTTTTATGGTTTGAATTAATTGTTGAGTAAAAACATCTCTTGTAGTTTACAGACATTTTTTGTCTTCTCAGTTTGAAATAAATGTGTTTCTTTTACTTGGCTTTAGTCGAAAAGAAAGTGCTGTGTGCAGTTTAAATAAAGCATGTGAACTTGTTAAGAAAATAGCACTTGGAAAGAACATTCCAAAAAGGGGTAAGTACCATTTTTCCAACACATTGAGGGGATCAACTGTTGTTGATGGGTTAGGGATTGGGTTTACGATTGGGTATGTACTGGTAATGGTTAGGTTTAGTGTAAGGGTCAGGGTTAGGCTATAGAAATGAATGAAAAATGAATGGAAGTCAAGGCAAAGTCCCTGTAAAGATTGAAAGCCAAACTTTTGTGTGTGTTGAGGGTGTGCATCTGATATTCATGTATTCTGCTTTATTACATTATTTCCTTTCTAAAATGGAATCAAATCAAATCTTGTGTTTATTTTATCTTTGCAGTTTTACATAGCACTATTCTAAAAGCACAAGTTTCAAGAACAGTGTTACCAGCTGAACTACCAAAGCTTAATGACAGTCAGTGTCATGCTGTGGCAACCGCTCTAAACAGCACCTTCACTCTTATACAGGGACCACCTGGTAAGAGCACAAACACCTGTATACACCTGTGTATTTCATACACCTTGACTTTTGCTTTTCAAGTTTAAAATATTTCCTATTATTTATTTACCTGACAGGAACTGGGAAGACAGTAGTAGGTGTTTACATAGTGTACTGGTTTTTTAATCAGAACTCTAGAAAACAAAGAAAGTTTGACAATCCAAAGGACAAAAACAAAAAAGAAGTTATTCTCTACTGTGGTCCATCCAACAAGTCTGTTGATGTCGTTGCAGGCAAGTTACTTTCTCAGCTGAATTTTGTTTGTGGTTCCCAGTAAACTTGTGCCCATGCCAAACCAAACTTATACAGGTTTGGTCACGTACCCTTTTCGGTACAAAAAACAGTAATTGGTGGCCCCCTTGTTGTCACCTTCATCCATTTTGTATACACCCCAGCTACTTTGAATCTGGTTCACCTAATTTTTTTGTATTAAATGACAACTGCAGGGTACAAAGTGGAAGTGCAAACTGACCTGTACAATTCATCTTTTATATTAACCCCATCCTGCTATGAATTGAATTGATATTATGAGTGTTACATGTGTTTTTAACATTTTTATATAGAGTTCTTGATGAAGTTTAAAGAGAGCTTTAGGATCCTCAGGGTATACAGCCAGCAAGTGGAGACACTCGAATACCCTTACCCAAACAGCACCTTGCAGTTTTCCTCAAAGATCCTTCGCCAAGATTGCTCCAAGCCAGAGCTCAGGTACTGCACTGTAACGTTCATTAACTAGAAAGTTCCTGGAGAAACTTTGACAGTGATGCCATGTTGCATCCATTATAAATGTAGGATTTGACCGTACAGTAGTTCATTGTTTATCACGGGGGAGCCGTACCCTGAAGCCTCGCGATAAGTGAAAAACCACAAAGTAGGAAGTAGTACAAGTATGTATATATATATATATATATATACAAATGAAGGAGAAAGAATATCA